CCCCCACACACACAGACACAAAAGATCCGCTCAGTCACTTTTACGCTGCTATGGACAATTTTGCACTCCCTTTTGCACTATGTACATCTTCTTTTTTATATATATTCTTGCTTACTTGTAAACGGTTATTTTGTGTTTTTTTTGTAAATGATTGAATCTTCTTGCATTTTAATGTGTGAGTTTGTTTATACCTCGGGACTGTGGGAAACAGTACTTAGATCTTTCTGTGTGTACAAACATATTTTGAGATTGACAATAAAGTTGACTTTGAGAAGCATGTCTTTGTCTTAGCACATACGAGAACTCGTTTTGGTTCCTGGTAGGATCTTGTCAAAATGGCCCACCTGGTTCATAAAAGGGCTAAACATCGAATCATCTTAGCTATAGCTTTAAAGGGTGCTCACAAATACATAAGGCCACATCACCCTCTTTACCTGAGGAGTGTTCAAAGAAACATTGTATTCTACAGATAAGGCAAACAAATTAAATTCCATATATTGTATATTTTAACCAACTTCAAATTGATCAATTGAGCCATTAGTCTCTTAAAGAACTCTTCTTGAACCCTTATTTAGAAGAGTGTAGAAAGACTTAAAAACATTTGCTGCTGAACCAAAGCAACGCAGAGCTCAGATTAAGGAGGAATACATTGAGTGAATTGAACTACAGCTAAACATAACAGCTTCCTCATAAACTAGATTGACTCCCATGTTTTGTACCTTTGGCCCAATTCTCTCATTATTCCTGAGTACAGCCCATGTGAACTGGCATGCCTCAGAGGATTAACTCTCCTGGACAGACTGTAGCCTTTCCCATGCTATGCTGTTTAAGCATCTGTTTATTTACTGTTCTGTACTTCTATCCAAAAGATGTTCTTCTGCATGTTCCTATTAATCATGTCACTATGCGTATGTGTGCTTGGTTTTCTAAGCTTACAGTCATTCATTTTAATCAACAATTTAGGTCTGCTCCTGAGGGAGCGACAGCAATCTACGTTGAGTGTTCTTGGATAAAGACATTTCCATCGTTAATCCGGACAAAGGATGAGCAGCTCAGAGAAACAAAAAGTACAATCATTCTCACTTCTCCCACTCCTCTCCGTCCAGTTCATTGCCCGTTTCTCCTCCTGTGGTGTACTCTGTCTCATACTGCGACTCGTCCATATCTGGGTTACGTCTGCGTCTCTTGCCCCGGTTGGCCGAGGGTTTGCGGCCCCCGCTGGTCTCCTCTGAGGGGCTGGAGCTGATTCTTCCACCGTGGGAGTACGCCTCAGATGGTCTGCTGATGGTCCTCTCCGAGTACCTGCAGGACAGCAACATAAACATGGACACTTTAGAATAAAACATGATCAAAAGTCTTGTTAACGGGAAAGGAGAGATATTATTCAAAATAAAACCTTAAAAGGGTTAGGTTGTTGACTGAGAGATAAGATAAGATAAGAAAAGTTGGAACTTTATTTATCCCCTTGGGGAAATTCAGTCGTTTATAGTCAGAATGAAAGCAATGTGTATTTTACTGTTGCCTAGGTTTGGGATCACCAGAGGCCCCACAATATCTTATTTTTACAATATAATTGCAATTTTGAACATTCAGTAACATACTGCAATATAGTGTGATTTATAACCTTTTTTGAACGGCAAATGATGGAGTTTGATTCCATCTTTCATTCGAATAATTATTAATCTAGTCATTTCTCAAATACAATATTAATACTTGGATTCTGTTTAGAGTGTAATATTGCCAAGCAAATCTCCCCCTGCATACTGTTCCCTTAGCCGTCTATTAGCAGTGAGTTTCTATACAGAATGCACACATTTTCACAGCGATGTCAAGTACAGAGAAGCTCAAACCGGATAGATAATCAAAGCAAAACCCAGTGTGTGTGTGTGTGTGTGTGTGTGTGTGTGTGTGTGTGTGTGTGTGTGTGTGTGTGTGTGTGTGTGTGTGTGTGTGTGTGTGTGTGTGTGTGTGTGTGTGTGGTGGGGGAGGTTGGGGAATATTTCCCCTTCCCCAGTGGAAACTATGCCCTTGACCATATAAACCAATTTATGCTAAAAGAACATCATGACCCAAATAACAACTTAAGGGACGGTCTGATGTGAGACAGTGCCTAAAGAAAACAAATATGAACTGATATGACAGACAGATACTGTATGAAGGAAGGTAAACACTTTGAACCACTAATCATTACTGTGGCTCACACCCTACAATGTGACTCCATGCCACGCAGAGGGCCCTCAGTGAGCGGGAGGCAGGTACAGCTCTTTAATAATGTGAGGAGGAAACATGCTCAATGTTGAAGGTCTGAGGGGATTTGTAGAGGATATTACAAGTTCTTTCAGAAAGCAGAGCACCCTGACATTCTTTTGCTTATGAAAATGCAAGCTATGTTTACTTTTCGAGAGAAGGAAATGATTTCAATAATATTCTGGACTTTGGAACAAATCTAAATCCTGTTGATAAACTGCAGTGCACCTTAACCATGTCATTAGGAGCATATTTTCTAAAACTAGCTGGGCTGGTTTTTTCAAAGTATCAGAGATGGTAAGAAACTGTGAAGAGCCATGTACTTTTGGCTACACACAGACTTTAAGACAATAATGCAAACATGGTGCTTGAGAAATCCTTTCTACCTTTTGGAAACTAGCAAATACATTTGTTCACAAACATCCTGCTTTCTCCCTTTCCTCAGAGATTTTAATGAACAGAAGAAAAAAAACGGAAAAGTTAATCCAACAAGGGCTCAAAGGTCACGAACAGAGCTCATTTTGTGGGCAGGGCCATACTTTCAAGGGCTTTAAACCACATCAGTGATTAGATATTGCTTGTGTTAGTCACATGTTTGAGGTTGGTTGTTTGTGTGGTATCTATACAGAGTTAAATGTTGTAGCTGCTTTATTTCTACTATTGGACTCTCCGCACATCTGTCCAAATGGAAAGAGATTTACAGCTTAAGTATCTCTTAAAGACACAGTCAAATAAAACAATGACATTTCTGGTTTCACTATGAAATCAAATCCTTGTGAGCACTCTTGTCTTATTACACCTCTATTTGTCTTCTTGTTAAACCTCAGGGGGGACTCATCTTAAACAGTCAAGTGCGATTTGGGGCCACTCGCTACCTTCACTTTCTCATATTGATCCATGTGCATTGATCTTTGTGGCTAGCCGAGTGAAGCGCAATCTGTCTCAGGAAACTGAAATGCAGGTTCACCGGACCCTGATGTCAAAGTTGAATCAATTTGTATTGAGTCTGTGCTCACTTTTCTTTTATCTGCTGGTATCATTCTCTGAAGTTCAAATGTACTCAATAAGCTGGTTAATGTCTGTAGGAAAATATCTGGCACTGCACAAGTACTCTGCGGGATATTTACTTTCCAACGAAAGGATATAAGAAAGCCTGTCTTTCCTTTTCCTCCTTTCCTGTGTGACTCTTCCCTTCCGTCACATCTACAGTTTCCGCCGTATGAAATCCAACTCCAACTCGCACTAGTTCAAACCAATACATTTAAACACAACTTTATACACTCTGTCATCTGTCATATTGGTACTGTCTTATAATCGGTCCAAGTATTGTGCCCTGGGTTTTATTTGTGCTGAATAATTGCATCGTGTGTTGTTTATTGTTCTCTTTTATTCTTTCGCCTGTATCTACTTGTTTTTCATCCTCTTTTTATAATGCTGTCGATATGTTGGGATTTTAAGGGTGTCTATTACCAACTGGCCGGGGACAACAGCTGGAAATGAGCCATGTTGGCTAAAGCTGCCCCATTTACTGTTTTTTTGTGACAGTTGATCAATCACGACACTATAAACAAAGAAACTAAACTATAACTAAATCCCATTTTTGCCGTATCAATACACCGAATGGGGATAAATATAGTTATTGACTGATAAACTTTGTTTACATGTTGAAAAATGTAGTCATTTGTTCCTTTTTCTATTCTGTCTGATATAACAACACAGGTGGGAGCGGCGTAGCTGGAAGCCAACAGTCCTCTACAGCGTATTCATTTTTAAATTCCGTAAACAGCACCCACATCTTTTCCACTCGTCACAGTGCAGAAGATGTTCATTGTGACTTGTGACGTATTTGTCAACACGAGGAAGAATACAGATTCACTCACACTGTGTTGTCGAGGGTGTCCTCATTATAGGAGCTGCTGTCCACCTTGGCGGGGGGGTAGGAGATGACACTGTTTGCTGAGGCACTGAGCAGACCGGCCCCCTTCTCTGACACCAGCAGCGTAGGGGCGTCTTGGACACTGTGGCTTTCCTCCACATTGTTCACCTACAGCAGACAGGAAAAAGCAGAAGGAACAGAATCAGCAAACAAAAACAAACAAATGAACCCCTCACAAACATCAGGTCTTATAACCTTACAAGATCAATCATGAGGATATCATTCTTACAAAGAACGATCTGACTATTATTCCAGCTTTCCTTTCACTTCTTTCTATGGTCTCATGTCATCGTGAACACCTGGAACGGATGTGCTCCTCCTTTCTTTCTTCAAACTAAAGTAAACTGTGTCCGACCTGTAAATAGGTTCGCCTTAATCTGTATTTTCAAGACCTTCCTGTGAGCCCAAACGTCCTGCATGAGGGAATTCCTCACAATGAGGGCCTCGGGGGTGGCCACTGTTTCTCCCCCTACCACTGGGTCCAGTGACTGGATCAATCATTAGTGGCCTTTTACACAACCTCTACAGTCAAGTCTAAACTGTGAAGGGTTTTTCTGCTTCATGCAAGGCTAACTGGCTTAAATAAAGAAGAAAACCCATGGGTTGTTTTTCAAATGTATCAACACATTGTGAAAAGGATGGACACCCCCCACAAGAAAAAGCGGACCCAAACTAAGATTATTTATTGTATAAGTAAGTAGGCAGGTTTTAAATCAGGCACAACATTTCTGCATTTGTACATAAAAGAGCACTGAGCATGTTTGGGGTGATGTTAAATACTGCTTAGAGGTGAACATTTACTATTCCTCAAATATTTATAAACCCTTCTGCTTACAAGGGTGGAACATTACTAAGCAATCTCCTAAAATTCCTCACAGTGTGGGAGCATCAGCCTAACCCCCAAAAAACAATAATCATAATGGGTGGAGTTCCAGTGTGGGGGAGAGCTGCTTTCAATTCAACTGCAGGAGAAGCCTGGCGTGATTTGAAGACTATACTTCCTGTAAGAGTCTTAACAACGCCCTCTCAGTGTGCAACACAGCAGCGTCAGAGTGTAGGACCACAGTTACAATGTCACTCTTAATGCAGGAATGTGCTTCGCCAAAGATGATGCCCTTGCAAAACTGGTGAGAATGTATTTACAGCAAGTTATCCTGAGCAGCAGTGATTGTCATATCACCATTATTTAAAACAGAGAGAATGATGTATTTTCAGATCACAAGTGAAACATGCCAACTTGGACAGCAACATCTGTATTGAAAACTTTAGAAGGCAAAATAAGTCAGCTGTAGATAAGCAGGTTTACTAGAGAGGTTGAGCTTTCATGTGTCTTTTCACTTGATCACACTTAATGTAAAGCAAAGTAAAAACAGAAGACATATTCAATCCACTTGATATGGTATATATTGGTCAAGCTGATCACATTTAGATATTTCTACACTACTCCTCCCAGAAAGAGATCACAACACGTCACAAAGCGAGCCCAGGATGCTTTCACTCTGCATCTGTGCAGCACTTCAGTGTTTCCAGCATACAAGACTGCCCTGCAGGAACCGCTGTGATGACCTCATGCAGCAGACACAATGCCAACCCCCCCTCCGAGCTGAATGAAGCCAGTGTGTGAGGTCATCAGAGCATGCCAGGCCTGCCCGAGCTCAGCAGCAGAGATGGGTCCAATCTTAGAGCAACCACAACCTTAGCCTGTCACTGGCTCTGTGTTTAAAAGAGCCAAACAAGCCTGATGACTCTTTTTGTAGCACAGATACAGTACACAGGTAGCACAGGAATACAAAATGCATTGGAAATAAGAGGGAAATAAGAACAGGGGGTTTATTGAGGCTTAATATAAAATATGCAAATAATATACAATAAAGGCTCATGTTGTCTGACCTCTTGTAAAGATATGAGTCTATAGAGTCAAATTAACATATGTTCCTTCCTAACTATAAACATGTTTTAAACTTTGAGGGCTTGAATAAAGATTGGTTTGTAAGTATTGAAAGCCCTAAACTTTTCAAAGATGAATCTTCTTGGAAACTCTTTGCCGTTTCACCAACCTTTATCTTGCAAAACATCTCTATGTCACAGCGGTATTACAAATGGTTTATATTTAGAAGAATTTAAAAAATGATGTATGTGTGTACACATCATTAGTGTACCTACAATAAGACGATGACATCAGTGAGCATGGCTATATTATCCAACACTATTGTTAGTCATAGGATTCACTCCAGGCTGCTCTTGTCTGCTCTGCTTGTTCACCTCTGGGTGCATGATGCTATGCCCTAGGCAATGACAAGCACTCAACAACAAACAGCTCTATATAATCAAATATAACAGCATGTCTGTTTAGTGCTTGGATAAAGTGTGACTCGAAGCATTCTCTGCATCCTTTGTTGACTAGTTTGATTAGATTATAGGGCTAAGCTCGTACAACTGATTCCTTTAAGTGTACTACTTATTAAAGCAAAAATAAATGGTATCCCCTTTAAACGTGTGAGAGGTGTTGTGTAATGTCTTTCTAACATACATCAGGGAATTTAGATTCTGTATTATTTATCTGCATATATTTCAATTTTGCAATTGGCATGCAAGGACTGTTTGCCGCGTGTCTGTGTGTATTGATTTGTGTTCTTTACCCTCAGTGCCTTGTAACCTTTTGAACAAACATTGGATGTGGACATAATGTGTTGGAGAGGATGCTGAGTGACAACAGTATGTAGAAAACAGAAAGGAAATATTCGAAAGAACATATTTTGAGTTACAAAACAGTAAAATTGCTAACAAAAAAGTGCACGGTGTGTTAGGGTTTTAAACCTGGTTCACAGAAAGTCCGAAATAGAGAGTTGTTCATGATAGGTCTCCTGTAACTCATTGTCATTCACTGCATGGATCATTTGAAAAGTGGCAGTTCCAATCAATAATCAACCCGCATCACAGGTAACAGCCTCACGTGACTAGCTATGTTGATATTTAGAACCCTAAAAGGGAGGCTCTCCAGAAACCTCCAGCCCGCTCTCTATCTTCTCCGGTGGTTAATCATTACTCAGAGTGAAACCAGGTAGTACTGCATGAGCAAACAATCACTGACTTCTATCAGCTCTGACCCTGAACAAAGTGACTCAGTCAGAGGAAACACTGTAACGGTAATGTGACCGCTTCCCTGCTGGAACCTATAAACTCATAAAGCTCTGGTTATGATGCTCATTTCTGGACTTTCAACTCACACAAAAATTGAAACATTTAGAGTTTTGAACAGGAAAACAACATCTGGTCACATTTTGTCAAAAACAGGAACAACCTTGGGAATGTGCAGTTGTCCTTATCTGCACCACAATCATCCAACCTATCTTTATAGATGAGTACCTAAGCAGGATTACTGCCTCACTGATGACCTGACTTCACTTTGCAATAAAACTATTTATCTAAAAGAAATGGTTGGAAACACATTTTTGTCAGGTAGCAAATGTGGGTACAGAATCTACGGATAGGGAAAAGCATATGTCACTTAGTTTTGGTGGTAGAACCTCTGACGCAGAAAAAACACAGTGGTTAACCTTTTTAGCAAATCCGTTGGAGAACATTATATTACATCAACTTTCCTTAGGCTGGATTAAAACTGTGCATGCATAAACTCAAGGTCTGTTAAGGTTGAAAAAGTGATTTTTCTAAATCCCATGTTAACCCAGTACACTGGGAATTTGTTTTGTCCTGTCCTGTTTAGTCTAAATTCCATTTTCTCTCTATTCCTATGTATTGTACGTCACCTCCAAGATTTTGTGTGCCGCCCTTTGCACGAATAAAAAGAATTATGTTACTACTATCCTGTATTCTCTTACCCATTCCTCTACGTCTCTGCCCTCTGAAGCTTTTCCGCCAACGAGAGGCTTTTCCCAGTAAATGTTTGGTTTCCCGTAGCGCCAGATCATCCCTCTTGTTCTATGTGCAAAAAACGCAGCAACACCAAAGGCAATGACGACCAGAAATCCACACACCATGGCAACTCCCTAGAAGAGCAAAAACAAAAAAACAAATGTAATGTGATTTACCCAAAAAGGTAACCAATGCTTCATAACTACAGATTAGTAAACAACACAGGACTGGTAATATGGGAGACTAATATACATCTCTTTTTGAGTCCAGATTATTTCATATTTCCCACATGTGAAACAGCAACATTACTCAAACAAAGTTAACCGTATGCATTGTGTAACATTCATTGTAGTGAATCTATATCTACACACCTCCTGTGGGTCCACGAAGCAGTAATGGTAGAGATACTGGTTGTAGATGGGGAAGCCTCCCACTCCTCCCATCTGTGAGTAGCTGGTCTGGTAGAGGTTCTGGCACATCATCAGCATGGGATTATACATCATGTTGGAGGTGCCCTGGGCCATAGGGTTCACCCCGACGATGTAGACAATGCTTATGATGCCCTGGAAAAAGCATTGACAGTCAGAAAATCAGTCTATCTTTCAGATTGACCTATAGTAGTGCACCTCACTCCCTCCCTCAGTTCAAATATGACTACGGCAACACTGTCAGATAATCTTAAAGCCCTCATTCAGCAACAATCATATCAGTGAAGTATTTTTCTGAACATCCTGTAACTGAAAAATGGTACATTACAACAAGTTATTCAAAGTCTCTTTCTAATCTAGCATTATTTTAGTCTGTTATAATACTTTGTCAGCTAGAAACTCTCAACATTATTATACAGCACCTTAGACGATGAATTTGCTGAGCACAAATAAGGTGTAACAAACAAAAGTATGTTAACTCAGCATAAATATGGTTTATGGTTTAAATTAACTCAGCAAGTAGAGTACTGGGATCTGAACAAAGTGAAGCTGTGCACACAGTCCTGTTTCAGATTAGACTTCTGGTATTCAGAAGAAATCATGCACATAAATAAAATGTTCATAACAGAGATAGAGATAACAGTTTTCTGTTGATCAGGATGGTGCATTAGATAGAAATGTTGAGATGCTTAAGGAAAATGCTTTTGTGATGCTGCTAATGTAATTCACATATCACTTTAAATTCTCCTTGGCCTGCAATGTAGAACTATGTATAAGACAGCAGAATTGAAACAGAGGCAAACATTTCTCTGTGTGTGCTGTATGTGATTTCACAATTTATTATTTGGTGTATTTTAAGCCTTTGTGGACTTGCCACTCCAGTGTATAATATGGAAATAATCAAAACATGGTTTGCGTCCTCCACACAAAGTGATTGGACACCCTAAATAACAGAGAAGTAAAATGGCAAAAACATGAGGACACCATAAAATGTGAATGAGTCTCACCTCGAGGAAAGCCATGATGACGCTGGCTATCAGGAGGATCAGAAAGAACTTCCTAGTGTGGACCGTGTTGGATTTAGAGAAGCTTGTGATGAAGAAAGACAGTGCCCCTATAAAATTTATGGCTGCCATGGCAATCATGGCGGTTTTGGCTGAGTAAGGTTGGATGTAGTTACCGCCGTAGCCTCCTCCTCCGTAGCCTCCTCCATAACCACCTCCGTAACCACCTCCGTAACCACCACCGTAACCACCACCGTATCCTGAGCCGTAGCTGCCTCCACTGCCGCCGTACCCACTGCTGCCGTACCCCATTCCCATTCCCATTCCATACTGCATGTCCCACATGAGGGTGGAGGCCACGCAGGCAAATATGCCCACACACAGCACGATCACCGTACCCATCATGGCTTTGATGATCCCCGGAGGTGACAGCCATTTGTAGAAGTGCTGTGGTTTGTCCTCAATGTAGTACGATCCTGGTGGAGGTGGGTATGCGTTGTAATCACTCTGAGGGCCCTGGAAGCTGCCTGGAGGGCCATAGCCGTTGTTGGATGGCGAACTGAAGGGAGGACTGTAGACAGGTGGACTCTCGTAGTGCTGCTTGTCAAACATTGCTCAAAGATGTCCCAAACTGTAAACCAAAAACAACAAAACCAAATAAGTTTTGGTGGTTTGCGGGTAGTCGTGAGAGAGCAAAGTGTACTCCAGAGAGAAGGAAAGAGCCAACCCCTTCTGTTTTTCAGCAGCACTGATATGAGCTATGCTACGTGGAGATATGGGAAAGTTAGGCGTGACAGTCTTTGGTAATGAGAGGTAGTAACAGAGCAGTGTAAATGTTTTACCATTTCCAAGGGAGTGTGATTTATGAGGGCACAAGTTAGGCTTGTTTGTGCATATTTTTCTTTCAGTCAGGTTCCGTAAATTACAAAGAGCAGAACGTTTATTTTGATCATATCATAAACTAAATCAGACCTGCTTTCCTACATCAACAGAACATAGAAATATTAGATGAATGACCTTAAGCAAAGGGGTCTCTGACCCAGCAAAGTCAGAGTGGAGATGTCGGCACCAGGACGGAGAGGGCAGCAAAACAACAATACATTCCTTTTTGCCTCTTCACAGGCTGTAGGAGTCCCTCTCAGCCCCCACCATGTCCAACCAGACTTTGAACATTTCACATCCCGCCTCTGGCTATTTTTTTGTTTTCTTTCTCGCTACAAATCTTATCCAGGGACACAGTTTATACAACTTAACAATGCCCATTCTTCTACATGGAGTCCTACAGCGAGGGGGGGATTGCTTGCATGTTGGAACGAAAAAGCATGTAATCAGCAGGCGAAGTTACTGGAGAGGACAAGAAGTTAGATATGAAACATTAATACCTCTTTTCCTAGAATGCCAACTGTAATCTCAACCTGCATATAAAAACAATGCTGAGTCTTTGAGACTGATAGATTAATCCTAGGATTGCAACTAATTATTACTTTTGATGCAAGCTATTTTTTATGTTGCAACAATTGTTTGTGCATAAATGGCTCCCGTTTGTTGCCTCTCTAACACCATGATTTCCTGTTTTTCTCAGTTTCTTCCCAGAATAAAGTGAATATCTTTGGGTTTTAGTAGCAAAAACAATCATGTAAAGACATGGCTTTGAGAGACTGGGATAGACATTGTTCATTATTGTAACATCATATAGAGCCAACCAATCAATTCATTTACCAAAAATGAATGGGACAAAGTTAGTTCATTAATTGTGTTTTCAATGTTAAACGATTGGATGCAAGTTTTAGATTTGTATTAAAGCTGTTAGTTACAGCCCTTGATTTATTAACTTGAAGTGCTATTGGATTTATCATCAAGAAATACATGTGCAGGTGCTCTCTATCTTCTAACCCACAGCACTGATTTTAACAACAAAGAAAGAAACCTCTTCCATTAACATCGTGCTCCTGTTGAGCCACCGTGGTGGGGTTTTGAGGGAGGTAACGACCATTCAGAGAGGAAGACATACAGGCGGACGGACGGAGACACAGTTCTTGGCACTGCCCACAGTCTCCAGTGATAACTCTCCTCTCTTTAAGGGTCTCTAGCACACACAGAAGAAGAGGTCTCGCCTCAGAGCCTCCATCCCAGACACCTTCCCATTATTCCCTCCCTCATTCCTCCTTATCCTTCATCCCCCCTGTCCCACTAATCTCCTTCCCCCCTCCATAACTTCTTGCCTTTGTTTCGGGAGCAGGAGGGGCAAAAGTCAAGGCTGCTTGTCACGGGAACAGCGTTGCCATGGAGTTTGGGTTGAAAAAAAAGCAAAGAAGGTTGGGGCACTGTCTTTGGAGGACCAAACAAGGACTCCTCTGTGCTGCTGTGGGGGGGCAGGAGAGAGAAACACAGAGAGGGGAGGACAGGTGGATGTTGTGCATACAGCGGTGTCATGTGTCCTTTATTGTTGATCAACAGGCTGTCTCCTAAGCCAGTAGGTCTTAGTGTAATTTCTACTGCCAGTATTTGATTATATCAATAAGTGGCTGGAAGCAGTCTGAGGCACAGGCTCTTTCAGAGAAACCAAATAACACTGAGGAGGACCAAACAATTGTACATTCTGGAAAAGTCTACTTTGGGAGCCCCAACTGGGTTTTTTTCTAGTGCATCTTTGTCAATGTAATAAAGTAGGATTTTTTATTAAAAGGTAGCTGTTAATAGGGGTCATATTCTTTAGGATACAAAAATTACATGGACAGCTTTTTTTACTCATAGAGCGGCAATGGTTCAACTGATTTTTCAAAAATAATTCCAAACATCCGGTTTTATTGTAATAGTTAAAGGTGGGGTAGGTAATTTTGGAGAAACCAGCTCGAGTGCGCTAGAATTTGAAAGTACACAGCCGGAAAAGATCTTCCACTTCCTTACAGAGACCCTCCTCCAACGCACACAAACGTGCACATGACCAATGAGGGCACGAGATAAGTTTGTGCACAGATGGAAGGCTGACAGGCAGGTAGGCCATCCAGTTATTTTAGCCGGGCCGGCTAAAATGATTGGTCGTGCTTTTTACAGCACTATGGCTTCCACAGATGACATTTTTTTATGGATTTTTTGTCAAAGCACTTAAGATATTCATTGCTATCGGATGTTAAGAGCATTCCATGGAATATAACAAAAAGTGTATCTCGAGCCGGTTTCTCAAACTTACCTACCCCACCTTTAAGGGAAAATCATTTTGTTTTGGACTTTTTGTTGGATAAAACAAAGCTAATTGTGACATTAACCTGGGCTATATGGCAGTTTTCATCATATTTTGACATTTTATTGACCAAGTTATCAATTATTCAGAAAAAATATGCAGATGAATCAATCATTTAAATATGTTTTGTTAGAACAGTAGACTCAGTGCTTTGACAATAAATATGTGAGGGTGTCCTACTGATAGTAAAGATCAACAAAACTACAATACCTTATAAGGGACATTTGCTTTTATGTAAATGAAAAGCTTTATGGTTATTTACTAGCAAATTCCCTAAAACAAGTGAAGTGTACTTTTTCTGAAGCAGCAGCATCGCATCAATAGTAGGAGAAACAGTAGTAGTAGCAGTAGTCGTAGTACTAAAGTGTTGTTTGTCTAAAACTGGATAACAAATCTTATGTTCATGCTGGGCAGAAAGCAGAGTGTTTTGGACCAGAGTCACAGGTCAGGTCCCACACCCACCGGCCGCAGCCTGAGCTCCTCTACAACACAGAGACTCTATCATCTGCTGCTGATAATGGAATTCCACTCATACAGTCACATGTCTCACATCTGTCAAAAACAATTAGGCCCCTGCCTGATGTAGGCTGGGGCCCACATCATGTGCATACACACAGGAGTCAGCCAAGACTTCATGCCCAAACACACCCAGCTGAAAAATCTCCAGGGCCGTATAAAAGTCAGTCAAAATTGTGGAAAATAACAAGCTGTGCTATCAGTTGCAAAAACAAACAAAAAACGTGAGATGTTGATTCCACTTAACCGACTTTTAAGAGACTGTGGTGGTGTTTTTGTTATGTATTATGAAGCACTCAAGAGAGTTTTTATTATGTTGTCCACCCAATAATATCACTGAAGGTTAATTATGTAGATCTCAATAAACCTGAATGAAAAGAAAGTATTGGGTGGACGTATTTTATTAACTTATAAACTGTGTTGTATGCTTAATCATATATTTTACAGGGCTAAACTGTATGTAGAATGTTGCTTGTAAGTTTTGGCAAGCTACAGTAAAGATAATGTTCTACTCTATAATTAAATGGTATTCTATTCTGCTACTTCATATAGTGATTATTACAGGGCTGCTGTAGTGGAACGAGGTGTACCTGAATAACTGGCACCTGAGCGATACCACAAAACTCTCATTATGAGACATTGCGCCAACCAGTAAACTACAGTTTATACAGTCAATCGTTGAATTAGAATTATGGCATAAGCATTTTATGTGTCTAATTTGTCTTTACAATCTACAAAATATATAAACACACTGTAACATCAACTTCAGACTCATCACAAAAAGATTACTACTTGTGAACCTGAAGTTTGTATTTATCTTATTTTAGGACTGTTGGGTTACTTTGTATTTGTTATTGATCCGTAAAGCTTATAGTAGTAACTAAGTACATTACCTCAAGTACTTAAGTACAAGTTTGAGAGAATAGTACTTTACTTGAGTATTTTCAGTTAAATTGTGTACTTTTACTCCACTATGTTTATTTAATACCCTTAGTTACTTTGCACATTTGGATTAATAGTGTGAAACATAAACAACTCATTAATAAGACTTTATATTCACCTAGTCACATTTACAAGCTACCCTGTAGTTCACAAAGTAATTAAAACCAGCTGCACATTTACCAGCTTTGATAAACACATTGATGCATCAATCATTATAATCAAATCATATAATATATATTATTCTGAAATGGGCTAATTTGCATAAGTACTTTAACTTTTGGTACTCTACATTTATGTTGATGCTACTATGCTGCACTCTGGTACTAGTATTTTTACTTCAGTACAAGATCTGAGTACTTCTCCCACCTCTGCACTTGGCTTGAATCAAAAGGTCATCAGATTTTCCATTAGCTATAGTAGACTAACGTTGCTGTTTTCTTGATGCCTTTGTTTTGTTCCGGTAGATCGTTCTAACGGAGTTCTCCATCACCATTAACAACCTGTAGCTAGCTGACTCGCTAACTCAATAACGGTGTTATCTAACTGTCCTTACTTTGGAAACAAGAGGGGTCCCACCTGTTCACCGTTACTCCTTTCACCCAGATACTTTTACGGTAAAAGACTTCAAACCACTTGATACAAAAATAATAATACAGGTTTATTCAAGAATAATAACTTATAACACTGGTTTTAAAATCACCTTTTAGTTTCAACTGTGTATGTTGTCTTACCTGAGGATCAAGGAAGGGGGAAAGAAAGCACAGTCAGAGCGTTTCCTTTCAAAACTCTCCTTCTTCCTAAAGTTTTGAACAGTTGAGAAAATAATAAAACGGCCGTCAGGAAATGAATGTCCCGCGATATATTAAAAATAAAGTGAGGCTTTTTAATGTAACCGTTAAAGCCGCGACTTTAAGCTGCTGTCCCGGGCGGACGGAGAGACAACGGTTTCCTTCACAGCCTCTGAACTGAACAAGTGCTTTGTCCCGCCTGTCCGCGGTGATGAGGCCCGCCGTCCCACCGCAGCACCGCTACACCGCTGAGGCTCATCCGCCAGAGGGCGGGCTATCTGCGGCTTACAGAGAGCATAAAGGGACACAGAGACACTGGAGACAATTAAGATTTCATATTAAATCAATTATACCATACATTTGAAACAACTATCATCGTAGTCTACCGCTAGACAAAATAGTTCTTAAACAGCAGTGGTGCAAAGTAAGTGTATTTAAATACAAATCTGAGGTAGGTTTAGTTTAAGTATTTTCTTTTCATGATTCCTTACCTCTAAACCTCTATAGAGAGCCGCAGTGACGCGTCCTTAAACCCGGAAGTAAACTTCTTCCGGTTCCTTCGTCTAAAACGCAATGCAATTTCTCTATTTCGAGCTATTTTCCAAAATCCTATGGAGAAATTGCATTGCGTTTTAGACGAAGGAACCGGAAGAAGTTTACTTCCGGGTTTAAGGACGCGTCACTGCGGCTCTCTATAGAGGTTTAGAGGTAAGGNGCGGTGATATGCAAATTCCTTTTTGCATAATTCGCAAACAACAGTGCTCTTATTGAAGCTTCCATCCGTCCGTTTTTTGAAACAAAATGTCCCATCCACGGGGCC